ATTTTCGCGCGTCTAGGCCTCAAGTCGACCTTGGGTCGCTATTTGTGTACGTTAAATTATTGCGCTTGTGTTGGTTGTTATTGTTGCTAAGAGATATTGTAACCGCACAGGAGACGGTCTATGAGTGAAAGCGAACCAGAGGCGCACGTGCCATCCGCCAGCGTGTGGGAGGCCTCACCAATCGACCAGGAATGGCTTGAAAACTGGGACGCATTCAACAGCTACATGGGCGAGTATCAGGAGAGGACACACCAGCTCTTTCGACTCCGTAGTTCGACGTCGGTGGCCCGTCGTAACACGGAGATCAGAGCTATTGCTGACAACACATCGGGAGAGACGTCCGATTCACCGCCCTCGCTTATCCCAGATGAATTCAAAACCTATTGGATGAAACTTATCTGCACGCACGGATGGCGTCGAAAAAGCCGCAGTACTGGTCAACGAAAGAGCTACTTCGGCAAATCGACTGAGTGCAAGGCGGATATCAAGGCTGCTGTGACGTGGAACAGAGATAAGCAGAAATTCATGGTGCGCGTTACTGGCTACAGCATCAGCCATAATCATCGCGTCGACCGAGCTGTGTACGAGAACCATTCGTCGGTGGGGCGTGTCGACGATCCAATGCTACTTGCGTTCGTGGACGTGTTGCAAGCGTCGGGTTCGAAACCCAAGCGGATCATGTAGTTTCTGCGCGAGATGACGGGTACGTATACATGACTTTCGTCTTGCTTTAGCTTCTATTTCTGATGAATCCGTTTATAGGTCAGATCGTGACGCTCCGTGACGTCCACAACATGGTTGCCAGAATGAGAGAGAAGCGGCGCGGTTCCAGAACCGTAGAGCAGCGACTTGAATCTCTAATGCGGGAATTTTGTGGACGGCGCGGTAACCGAGCTTCTGTGTTTGTTGATGACGAATCTTTGGCGCAGACAATCACGCTGCAGACGCGCCAGATGCGTCGCTGGTTCAAGGCTTTTCCGGAGGTGCTGTTGATCGACGCGACGCACAACACGAACGACTCGAGGTACAAGCTATTCTCGTTCATGATACATGATGTGTACGGCCATGTAAGTCTACGTGTCTAGAGGTACCTGATGGTGACTATAGACACGTAATGTACAAGAGTTACCCTCAGATGTACCTGTAGGTACCGAAAGGTACTAATGTTAGAGTTTGCGTGCCTAGGGTCAGTATGTGCAGCACAGCCTAATGGAAAATGAGAGTGCGGAGTGTCTTACCGATGCGATCGAATCTTTCAATTTTTGAGATTCGTGTCATCGTGATCGACAAAGATATGGGTGAGCTGAGCCTTTTGGAGGCGCACTTTCCAAACGTTAAAGTGATTCTCTGTCACTTCCATCTCAAGAAATACATCCGGTCGGAGATGTCAAAGAGTGAGTACGGAGGGCCAAGCAGCTTCGACATGGATCAAGTAGAAGACGCAGTGGATATGATGAGAACAGCAACCACAAGTGAAGATTACACAAGGTATCTCAAGTACCTGTATTTTCTCTTGGATAACGTTCAGTTACGCTCTACGGACGCGATCCCAGACCCAAAGCACCCATTTCTCCGTTATTTTATGAAGAATTGGGACCAACAGAAGGAGCGTTGGGCTCTCTACGCCCGTTCACACGTACCGCATCTTGGAAATCACACAAATAACCGGTAAGAATTTATGGAGTTAAGGCTTCTGCATTTAATTTGACGCTAACGTTTGTGTGTTATGCGATAGCTTGGAGGCATCGTGGGGGCATCTTAAGGAAATCCTGAAACCTTGACCCATCGTGCCAACTTTGCGTTCGTAGTATGGTTTCCAGGACTGAAGTTCCAGGCGAGTGCCAAATGATCCGTGTACAAGTCGAGCTCTCGCTTGTCCAAGTAACAGCGAAAATTGCTTGTCGAACATACCCCCCCCTACACTCGATCTCCAAGATCCCATCTTGCTTGATCCAGTTTTTAGGGACCCTGTCAACAATTTACTAGCGTACGCCACTACACGGTCTCGACCGTCTACTTCCTGCATCAGACAGGCTCCGACAGTGTATCGGTACGAGTCCACGTAAAGTTTGAAACGTCTCCTGACATCCGAGTAGACTAGAATCGGAGGCTTCATCAACGCTCGTTTGAGCTGGTGGAAGGCCGCCTCACAGTCATCATGCCACGGCAATAGCGCATCTTTCACCTTCCACCGTTCCATGCGCCCAAATCGAGGCGTATCCCGGAATATAACGAAGGAAATAGCTCATCAGTCCCAAGAACGATCGGATCGCAGGTAGGTCTTGCGAGCGCCTCACGTTCATCACGGCCTTGACCTTCTCTGGATTAAGTGGTATCCCGGTAGGAGTTACTGTGTGTCCCAGGAATACCCCGGGCTTGTGATGTACTTAACAGCAGATTGGACAACGCCATGGCCCATCGTGCCAACTTCGCGTTCGTAGTATGGTTTCCAGGACTGAAGTTACAGGTGAGTGCCAAACGTTCCGTGTGCAAGCCGAGCTCTCGCTTGTCCAAGTAACAGCGAAAATTTCCGTCGAACATACCCCCCCCCCCTACACGCGATTTCCACGATCCCATCTTGCTTGTTGGTCCAGTTTTTCAGGGACCCTGTCAACAATTACTAGCGTACGCCACTACACGGTCTCGACCGTCTACTTCCTGCATCAGACAGGCTCCGACAGCGTATCGGTACGAGTCCACGTAAAGTTTGAAACGTCTCTTGACATCCGAGTCGACTAGAATCGGAGGCTTCATCAACGCTCGCTTGAGCTGGTGGAAGGCCGCCTCACAGTCATCATTCCACGCAAATAGCGCATCTTTCACCTTCAACCGTTCCAGGGGCGCCCAAATCGAGGCGTATCCCGGAATATAACGAAGGAAATAGCTCATCAGTCCCAAGAACGATCGGATCGCAGGTAGGTCTTGCGGGCGCCTCACGTTCATCACGGCCTTGGCCTTCTCTGGATTAAGTGGTATCCCGGTAGGTGTTACTGTGTGTCCCAGGAATACACCCCAGGCTTGTGACGTACTTAACAGCAGATTGGACAACGCCATGGCCCATCGTGCCAACTTCGCGTTTGTAGTATGGTTTCCAGGACTGAAGTTCGAGGTGAGTGCCAAATGATCCGTGTACAAGTCGAGCTTTCGCTTGTCCAAGTAGCAGCGAAAATTTCTTGTCGAACATACCCCCCCCCAACACTCGATCTCCAAGATCCCATCTTGCTTGTTGTTCCAGTTTTTCAGGGAACCCTGTCAACAATTTACTAGCGTACGCCACTACACGGTCTCGGCCGTCTACTTCCTGCATCAGACAGGCTCCGACAGCGTATCGGTACGAGTCCACGTAAAGTTTGAAACGTCTCTTGACATCCGAGTCGACTAGAATCGGAGGCTTTATCAACTCTCGCTTGAGCTGGTGGAAGGCCGCCTCACAGTCATCATTCCACGCAAATAGCGCATCTTTCACCTTCAACCGTTCCAGGGGCGCCCAAATCGAGGCGTATCCCGGAATATAACGAAGGAAATAGCTCATCAGTCCCAAGAACGATCGGATCGCAGGTAGGTCTTGCGGGCGCCTCACGTTCATCACGGCCTTCACCTTCTCTGGATTAAGTGGTATCCCGGTAGGATTTACTGTGTGTCCCAGGAATACACCCCAGGCTTGTGACGTACTTAACAGCAGATTGGACAACGCCATGGCCCATCGTGCCAACTTCGCGTTTGTAGTATGGTTTCCAGGACTGAAGTTCGAGGTGAGTGCCGAAGTTCCAGGTGAGTGCCAAATGATCCGTGTACAAGCCGAGATCTCGCTTGTCCAAGTAGCAGCGAAAATTTCCGTCGAACATACCCCCCCCCCCCCTGCACTCGATCTCCAAGATCCCATCTTGCTTGTTGATCCAGTTTTTCCGGGACCCTGTCAACAATTTACTAGCGTACGCCACTACACGGTCTCGACCGTCTACTTCCTGCATCAGACAGGCTCCGACAGCGTATCGGTACGAGTCCACGTAAAGTTTGAAACGTCTCTTGACATCCGAGTAGACTAGAATCGGAGGCTTCATCAACGCTCGCTTGAGCTGGTGGAAGGCCGCCTCACAGTCATTATTCCACGCAAATAGCGCATCTTTCACCTTCAACCGTACCAGGGGCGCCGAAATCGAGGCGTATCCCGGAATATAACGACGGAAATTGTTCATCCGTCCCAAGAACGATCGGATCGCAGGTAGGTCTTGCGGGCGCCTCACGTTCATCACGGCCTTGACTATCTCTGGATTAAGTGGTATCCCGGTAGGAGTTACTGTGTGTCCCAGGAATACACCCCAGGCTTGTGATGTACTTAACAGCAGATTGGACAACGCCATGGCCCATCGTGCCAACTTCGCGTTCGTAGTATGGTTTCCAGGACGGAAGTTCCAGGTGAGTGCCAAATGATCCGTGTACAAGTCGAGATCTCGCTTGTCCAAGTAACAGCGAAAATTGCTTGTCGAACATACCCCCCCCCTACACTCGATCTCCAAGATCCCATCTTGCTTGTTGTTCCAGTTTTTCCGGGACCCTGTCTACAAATTACTAGCGCACGCCACTACACGGTCTCGACCGTCTACTTCCTGCATCCGACAGGCTCCGACAGCGTATCGGTACGAATCCACGTAACGTTTCGAAACGTCTCTTGACATCCGAGTAGGCTAGAATCGAAGGCTTCATCAACGCTCGCTTGAGCTGGGGGAAGGCCGCCTCACAGTCATCATTCAACGCAAATAGCGCATCTTGCCACCTTCAAACGCTTTCCAGGGGGGGCCCCACAATTCTAGGGGGTAAACCTCGAAAATATAATGAAAGAAAAAAAAATTTCATCATTCCCCCAGAAAAGAATCGGATTGCAGGTAGGTCTTGCGGGCGCCTCACGTTCATCACGGCCTTGACCTTCTCTGGATTAAGTGGTATCCGGTAGGATTTACTGTGTGTCCCAGGAATACACCCCAGGCTTGTGATGTACTTCATCATGTAGCCGATGTAGTTTTCGTCGTCCTTGAACGACGCATCGCCCTCATCCTGGGTCTCATTATTGGTCGCTCCCTGCTCCTTTAGCTGCCGCGAGCTGCTTCATGACGTCCTCCTCCTTCTCTCCAGCTGCCACGCGTTTCTTAAGCCGCGTACGCTCGTGTTTGGACAAGAAGAACGCCTTCTTCTTCGGCGCAACAGCTTCCTCCGCCGCCTCCTCGGTGTTATCTTCACTATCCGTCTTCGTACCCGTCAGTTTATCGTCCGTAGCGCCAGCAACTTCCTCCTTTTCAGCCGCAGCGTTAAGTGCCGTCGCCTCTTCCTTGGCCTTCACCTTGTCCGCCGCTTTCGTCGTCTCCGTAGCGATGATCTTGCCATGCAGTTTCCTCTTCTTGACCATCATCAGAACACCCGGAGACGAGCGTTTAGCTGAGGAGTGAGCACCCGCTGCGATCTCAAAGATCGTCTGAGGCGGACGGAACGTCTGAAGCGAGTCGATGTACGCTGCCTTGTCCGCTTTACTCTCGTCCAGCACATACTCCTGTTGGAACAAAGGATGCACCTTCTTCACTGCCAGCTCCTTGCCGCGACGAATCGAGTTCTTGGACGGATCAGCGCGTGTGCGTGCGTACGCCTTGTACG